TGTTTTATAGTGTTTCTTTTTTTTGTTGTTTTTTTTTTTTTTTTTTTTTTTTTTTTTTTTTGTTATTCCTAGCTTATGCATTTTTTGCGGTGAGAGGGATGAATCCTTCACAGAGGAAGGATTGGATCTGCATTACTGGAAGCATTGTCCTATGTTAACCAGATGTGAGCACTGCAAACAGGTCAGGCATAAACTTTTTATAGCTGGTACAGTCCTCGCATGTCAGTACTCCGGTTTCAGGGTGCTAGGAGTCATTTAAACAGCATGGTGGTTGAATTAGCAATGCAGTTGTGTAATCTTGGGTAGTGCTTCTAGAAAAGAACAGCCTTTTGAACTAGATTAAAAACCAGATTCCTATCACGTACATAGTCTTCCAAACACGGTCCTCATCTGCTCGGCGCAGTGCCAGTCTTGCTGTGCACCTCTGCTGTGTTGCAGGTGGTTGAAATAGCAAGCCTGACGGAGCACCTGCTGACCGAGTGTGACAAAAAGGACAACTTTGGGAAATGTCAGCGCTGTACAGAGGCCCTTCCAAAAGATGAGTTACCCAAACACATTAAGAGCAAGACTTGCAATTGTGAGTAGTTTTAAATAGGAAAGCTGTAATTCAGAAGTGAAGTCGGTTAGATTTTCAAATACTGCATGTTTTTGGCAAGTCAGACCACTTCTATTTAGATACTGCGCTGTGGATTTAGGATTCTAACAGCATCTTCAGGAGTCGAGCACGTTTAGTGTCAACAGCTGTGTCTGAAGCACCTGGAGCACTGGCACTGCCATGAATGCCCGTGGGGAGGGAAGGAGGGTGGGAAGAGTGGAAACCACCACCCCAGCTGCATGCAAGGTGGGCCCCAGGCACTGCTGTGTGCTGACAGCTCTCTATTCCTTTTCATTTTCTTTCTGCGTAATGGTTAAACACAGGACTTCTTTGAGAGCAATTAATGATAGTAGTGTGGGAGCTGGTTTAGTCATAGTCGTGTTCTTTGTTGTACAAGTCCTCCTCTGTATTTGAAAACTAACCAGTCTTTGCCATTCTCATGTCATTTTTCTAATAATTTCAGCTGCCAAACCAGAACAAGTGGCAAACCATTGCCCACTGTGTCATGACAACTTTTCCCCAGGGGAAGAGGTAGGATCGTCTTCTAGGCTGGTCTTACTGATATGTCACTGGGGTTGAATTAGTATCCTCTCGTAAGGCTGGATAACAAAGATTTAAGAAACTGCCTACGTTATTACTAGGGTCTCTAATGGCTGTCCTGCACTCTGGGCACATACCTGAATCTGGGCCTTCTACCCTGCCAGACATGTAGGGGAACCAGAGGGCTAGAGGCTGGACCAGGGATTAATTCTGTACAGATGTCAACGGGTGATGCGGACTCTGTGCCATTTTTGTCCCTAGAATGGCATGCTGCCACCGAGTAACACTTCTCGAAAAGCTTCTTTCAGAATTCTTTTGGCATTGCCAAGATTACTAAAATTTGCTGGTTTTGTAACGTATCTACTTTTTTAATTGACTGTAGGCCTGGAAATCTCACTTAATGGGCAAAGATGGCTGTAGAATGAATCTTCGGAGGTTGCCCGTAATAAACAAACTTTTTCCAGCGCAGTCAGGTAAGATATCTATGCAATAATTATGCATTTCAGCTTGTTGCAGATGTTTAGGCAGATGGCTTTCAAGAACGAAATAAACTGCCCTTTAGTTCCTTGTTCAACATGTGTTTTGCATTTGTGAGGCTTAACTAGTTTTTCTTATGCTGATATAGATAATGATACATACTTGGGGAGCAAGTTCTCCTCACTGTTAAATCATTCAATACTGACAATTTCAAAGGGAAGGCGTTAGTTGGATGGAGTGGGAATACTGGCCTGATTTTTGGTTGTATCAGTTCACTCTTCCCGTGCAGCAGCTTGGTCTGTGGGTGTCTCCTAGTGCAGCTGCTCTTAGCCCCTCTTGTTAGAGGGGAAGAGCATGAGCAAAAGGGTCAGCTGTGAAGCTGAGTGGTTAACCTTGTGGAAAGCTCCTGAACATGGGCCCAGGGAATGAACCCTTGCCTGGGGGCTGGTGTCCAACAGAGGTGCAATTCTAATCCTAACCCCAAGTGAATGGGATAGTTTGTGCTGCATAGGGGTTTCCTTTTCAGCTTGGAACCAGGAGCTAGGCAGAATTTTTGATTGTGTAGCTGCTTTTCCAGCAAAGAGGCACATGGATGCTGATGTCATGGGGTTTTTGTTCTTTTTTGATTATGTGTCTTTATGAAGCATGTGCGAATCCTGAGCATCCAAGTTACAGAAACAAGCTATTTTCACTGCTTGCAGCACTAAAGCTTTTTGGCCAGTAACCTTCTTTCAGGCTTTTTTCTTCATTCTTTGATCTGCTGCATACCTAGGTGGTTGTTAGTTTCCTCCTTTCTCTCACTCTGGGCTTTGCTTTTCTCCTCTGCGTTTCCCAGCACTGCAAGCTCCTGGAAGGATGTGTATGACCATCTCCATCAGCTGCCACAAATCAGCCATTTCCAGTCTTCTAAACTCGGCCTAGCATTGCATCTGTCTTTGGGCTTGCCATTAGTACTTGCTATTAAGAAAGTTAATTATTAGCTTGTTGCTGCTTAGAGATTGGAAATGTGATCAGAAATAACTTAAATCTTGTTTGATAGAGCTGACACTCCAGGGCAATTTCTTGGAGACAGGAAGGGAACTCTGACCATGCACTCATACAGCTCCTGGTGTGAGATGCACCTCGCTGTACTCGGCGGTTGAGGGTTCTCGAGCAGGGGGTCAGGCCAGCCTTGAGCTGCTAGGAGGAGTCCTTCAGCCAAAACATACCTTGACAAGCACAATGTAAATGAAACCAGGGACTTGGACCAGGTGTGCTCGGAAATAACGATCTCTCTGTTCTCTTTGCAGGCAAAACAGGTGGCCTGTATTTAATGAAAATGGGTCCTTCAGGAGCCAAGGCTCGATCTCCCTCTGTAGGAAGCAAGATCCCAACCCCAAGGCTGGGCCCGAGTAAAAGCACTGGCAAAACGTACTCAAAGCGATGACGTGGCACGTGTATCCCTTGTCCGAATCGCTGCTGCGCGTGCCCAGCTCTGGCCTCCTCCCTGCGCCGGCCGCACTCCGCGGGCTGCGGAGCCGCCACGGAGCCGGCTGCTGCCCACTCCAGGCCCCATCGCTGCTGCTCACCTTAAGAGTCTCCCCAGTGCATATAAAGTTAACAAGAGCAGCCTCTGTGCTTGCTGCACCTGTGTTTTTGGGACAAAGATGAAAAACAGTAGTTCTCTGGAACTAAATCTAACACTACTTTGTGACTATACATCCTGAAAGTCTGGGAAATAATGCTCATATTACCGACTTTATCATCCGATCACCTCAGCGTAATAACCAAAATATGTTGCTAATACTTTTCGAGCAGAATCATCTTTATAGCACTCTGCAAACAGTAGTGTCACTTTGCGTGTTTGTTTGAGTATCAAGTATAAGCGGTAGAGGTTGTGAGGCCAAAGGAATATACTGGTTGACTTGTGAGATAGCTCCTCCGTGGGTGTTTCTGCACTATATCACTTACCTTTACAGAGAATTCCTTGCAATCAGGCTTGAGAAAACACCACCATGAATACAAAGTTACATGATGAACAAAACAGGCTTGTTACAGTGGCAGGGGTTCCTTTGATGTGACAGTGGTGTTGGGATCTCAGCAATACTGTAACTTAACTGCTCTGATGTGCTGTTAGAATAAGGTGAAATGAATAATACATCTTTGGCAGCCAAAAGGCTCCTTCATAAGCAGTGAGTAACCCCAGATCTCTGCTGTGGGGGCCGTGCAACAGTAAGAATAGTTACAGCTCCTTGAAACCGGGGTCGTTCAACTGCAAGATCTTGGCCATCCAAATCTAATGCGCCCAGCGAAATTAAATGGAAGAACATACCTATGTCTGTGTTCACGAATATGAGCTGATCTCTGTGAATACAGATGTTTGTAAAGTTGTAGGCATAAATTACACTTTCAAATAATGTCCCTTTTAAAAAAAAAAAAAAAAAAAAAGTGATATGAAATGTATATCTCAATTGATCCAAAAGACCCATTTGATCATGTGTAGATAAACTCTTGAACCAATAAATCAGCAAAACAACAGTTCCATAAAATGAAATACTTGCACATCAGTTTGCTTAGAAATAATAGTAGTAACAATAAGAGTTGTTACCTTGTGACATTGTAATGTAGCTGGGAATGGCTGCAGGGTTGTGTGTTTTGGGTTTGTTCCACTCCAAGTGCTATGGCATGGTTGGTACCTAAGAAGAGTGTGTACCTATAGAGTCACCCCAAAAGTGTAAGTGTGCTTTAAGATCTCATGCCATAATAGTCTTCCAAAAGATAACCCTGTAAAAAATCCGAGTAGGGGCTCAGGAAGCTCGAGTTAATACGTGAAAACCTCTTTTCTCTAGTGAACTCCAGTCTGTTTGTGCCTCCACCCTGGCTCTCCCTGGTTAGCTCTGGACGGAGCCAGCGTCCCCAGCCTGCAGCACGCAGGGAACTAAAGGGCTCAGGTACCACGTCCGAACCTGCCCTTTCTGCTTGTGACGTGGAGGCAATTCGTCTAGGATTGACCCGCTCTAGGGGTAGCTACAGGAATGCGTGATCACGGTAGCGTGCGCAGGGTGGAGGGCTGGGGTTTTGCTACCACAGAGTGAATCTGCAGCGGTGTCTTGTACATACAGCACTGATTTTATATTGACTATATTTTACAGTTTGCTTGCAGGCTTGTGCACAAGCTTACGAATTTTACAGGTAGATCAGAGTATCTGCATTTTAAAAATCTTTTATATAATTATTTCTTTAATTATTCTTATATAACTATATAATATATATTTTATATATATGTTTATTACCACCTGCTGACACAGGTTTGCATTTTAGGGCCTGATTCCTTATGTAAGCAAAATAACCCTTGATTTTGCTCGGAGACAAAACCATAACAACGGACTCCAGGCTCATGGGCGATTGCCCAGAGCGTGTTGTCCTTTTAGAAGCAAAACTGTGAGTTTTTGTGGATAAACGGAGTGAAAAACCTCCACAGTGCAAAGCACCGATGTATTTTCTGGATTGGCCCATGTAGCATTGATTTGTAGATTGAATTGATGGATACGGCTCTCCATTGCTCTGGAAGGATGGCTTTTCAACAATAATTAAAATAAAGCTAATCACTAAAATTCTATGCATAGCAGGGTGTGTGCTTACTCTATTGTAATATTTAGGGACCAGCTTTTTAACTATAGTTAAAAAGTAAGATCTGATAAAATAAACCTTGTGAATTCTGGATTAGAGACTATTTGTGAGTGTTGATTGATCCGAAGCAAAACAAAACGCTGTAGGAGGTGGCGGCGCTCTAAAATAAAGCTAATCACTAAAATTCTATGCATAGCAGGGTGTGTGCTTACTCTATTGTAATATTTAGGGACCAGCTTTTTAACTATAGTTAAAAAGTAAGATCTGATAAAATAAACCTTGTGAATTCTGGATTAGAGACTATTTGTGAGTGTTGATTGATCCGAAGCAAAACAAAACGCTGTAGGAGGTGGCGGCGCTCTAGGCGGCCGGGAGACAAACTCGCTGGTTCCGCGCGGCGCTCTAGGCCGCGGCTCGCGCGCTCGCTGGTTCCCGCGCGGCGCTCTAGGCGGCCGGGAGACAAACTCGGTGGTGCCCGGGCGGCGCTCTAGGCGGCCGGGACGCAGACTCGGTGGGGCCCGGGCG